ATATGCAAGGCCCAGTTTTCAAATCCCGCATTGCAAGAAATAAAAATCCCAGCTCCAAATTCACCCTTCCTTCACCCTGGTAGTTTATTTTTGTAATCTGCATACTCAGAAGGTAGAAGCAGGGGTACTATCACAAGTTTACAATCAATCTGTGCTACACAGAGAGATGCTGTCTCAAAATTAAACACACACACACACACACACACACACACACACTCACACACACACACACAGAACAGCATCAAGTTGAACAAAAACAAATCTCTTAAATTTAATCTGACTGTTCATGCCTATAATCCTAGTTCGTTGGAGACTGACACAGTCAGATGATAATTTTGATACCAGCCCTTTCTCAGTCAGTCCTTCCCCTAACAAAAGGAAAACAAGGCCTGGCAAAATGGCTCAAATAAAGCTCTTGATATGCAGACCTGACAATTTGAATTTAATTCCTGGAACCCAAGAGATGGTGGAAGGAGAGCAGACTTGACTAAGTTGTCCTCTGATCTGCGCATGCATAATGTGTCATGCATATTGGCCATACACACCTCTGTCTCTGTTTCTGTCTCTTTCTCTCTCTCACACACACAAAAACACACTTGAAATTAGAGCAAAACAAACAAGAATGGAAAAAAAAGTAGAAACACCAAAAACCCAAACCAAATCTACCTCAACACACCTATGAAACAATCAACTCATCTGAAAAGCTGCTGATTAATAATATCAAATCCAGTGTTCATGTTTTCTCAGTTGTCTTAATTACTGTGCCTGCTTAGATCCCTTATCCCTTGAGTTAAAATATCAAGGATAGAAGGTCTAAATGTCATATATTTCATATTGCTATTTTAAAGTACACTGCTAGGGATGTATACTCTCAGACTCTTCCTTTGTCATCTTTAAATAACACCTTTAACACCTTTAATATAATCTATAACTTCTTGGTCACTCTTTAGGAACAGGGCTTCTTGGAGTAGTCTTTCATTCAGATTATCATATGTAGGAGGACCATGTGTGTCTCTTCCTTTCCTAAGTCTCCAATCATGCACTTCTCAGGGATTTCTCTAATTCTGAATTGATATTGATGCTGGAGTGGTCAGAAGTGCTCAGAATATTTCAGTTGCAGGTGCAAAATATTTTAGTACAGGTTAATTCATATGCTCTTTTGGGTTCCTGAAACGTATCCTAATGACACTCGGTATCTCACAGGCTCAAAGCCAGGGTCTCACCTATTTTAGACAAGCCTTCAACTACTGAGTTATATACCCTTAGAGTTTCTCTCTGAATTTAGAAATTGCGCTGATGTTTTTGAGAAATAGATAAGATATTTCTATTTCATTTCTTGAATCTGATCAATGTTTTTAAAACTTTTATATAATGCTTTGAACTTTAAGTTCATTGTTTTTTTTCCTCGATCCTATGTCCAAAGTTATCTTATTTTTTTTTAAATTTACACATTCATAAGAACATTCTGTATTCTAACTCACTTACCCTCATCTTTAATAAAAATTTTCTAGTTTTGAAAAAAATGTTCCTTTTCTCTTCTGTATTATTTCTAACTACTGAGTAGTTACAAATTTGAAATGGTGGTGACTATAAAGTATCCTGGCTTTGCAAATGTCTTTTGAACAGAAATTGCATTTGCATTCATGCAGTGCTTAAAGAGCATAAATTTTCTTCAAAATCTTTCTCCTTGTTTTCCTTTCATTATCTTTGACATATGTCATTCAGCCTTAGTGATTTATCATCATTTATTTCATAAGTCTGGCTTGAATAATTTTGAGTATTGGCAATAATTATCCAGTTACCAATGTGTCCACTCGGATAATATAGAAGTGTTAAACACTGTAATATATCCTGTTATAGACTTGAAGTAAAAAAAATCTTGCTATGTATTATTTCTTTACTCACAATTATCTATGAATTAACTAAAATTTCCTTTAGATGCTCAAATTTTGTATATTCTTGTTTATTTCATCTCTTTTGAAAGTCCAGGATGTAGTGAGGACAGTAATATTTGTTACATACCTTATACCTTAGAATATTTATTGCACAGAATAATTGCTCAATATTACTTATTAAGTGATTGAGTGAATTCTTGGTATTGTGCTTGTACATTTTACATAGTGATTGGATCTATTCTAATACTAAACTAAGCAAAACAAGTACTGCTTTCTATAATGTATAAAATAAGAGTCATATTACCAGTGTTTTGGGAATGCTAGAAATACCAAATGATAATTTGAATAGTTCTTGGATGTTGTGTGCATATTTCTTGGGAGGAAATGTAAACCAGCACCTCATCTCAGAAAGAACACCAATGACAGACCAAGGTAAGGATTCTGACTATCTCTACCTAGGTGAACCAATGGTTTATTAGACTTCCTTACAGATCACGAATGGGATCTACTTGCAGGATTGTGGGGGCATACCCCCAAATAGCCACTTTACTAAATATCTCACCACAGAATAGTTGCTGCCTTTCCCACAACTATACAGATGGTGTTACCCTTTCAGTTAACCTTCGGCCTTCTATGCTTCTCCCTGAGACCACATGCAACTTGAGAAGAATTGCATATAACTAGGAGTGGAACACAAAAAAGAGTGGTAGCAATCCTTGTGAGGATCTGATGATCTTTCTCATCCCTTCCTTTTATATGAGAGAACATCAATAGGTGGAGTCTTGGGGGTTTCTTCTATGCAGTTCTAGCTACTCTGATAAGATATTCATGGCTAGTATGATCAGAGAACAATATTCTATCACAGTGATAAATGCTATTTAACTCTCATTATTAGGCATTATTCTTTTCTATTGTTATATACAGACATTGAAGCACAAAGATTTAATTTTCCAAGTATAGAGGAAGTTAGATTGGGAGAATTTTCTGAACTTCATAGCTGTTCTAAGTCTATTAACTTCTTCTGAAACTCAATGTTCTTGCCAAAACCTTTACAAGTATTATTGTGCCTAATAGCCATGTATATTTAGAGAACTTTGTATGCTTCACATCTTTCTTACTTAGAATCTCTTTCAATTCTTTGGAAGATTATTTTACTTCTTAAACTTGGTCATTTATGGTCCATTACACTTAACAAGGATCCATATCCTCAGGACATCTTTATACTGGAGCCCATGCACTGTTTTAAATAACTTCAAAAATTTTTATTGCCTCAGTATAATTTACTTATTTTGTAGTGCTAGGCATTAAACCAGAGGTCTCCCATATGCCAGGGAAGCACTCTATCACTGAGTCAGCCCCTGGGTAATTCTTAAAATATTTCCTTTTCTGATTTTTTCTTAGTAAGGAATTTAGAGTTTCTTTCTCCATCCTTCTTAATTATGGAGAGTCTCAAATAATACTTGGTTTGATTTGAAATATAAGAGATGAGAAATATACAATATTTCTTTGTGATAGGGTGCAGTTTATTTATTTGGACAAAAACAGGTTTACTGAATACACTCTTGGAATGGCAGCCTTGGCAGTGACAAAATACAAGCTACAGTTAAAAAAAAATAAGAGATGACTGTTTTGGAATCTTTTTGTTCAGTATTGGTGACCAAATCCAGGGCCTTAAACTTGCTAGGCAAATGCTCTATTTTGACCTAAATCCCCACCTCTTACCATTGGGTTTAATACATCATTTTACTTGCTAATTCCCAGTACAAAGTTCAGTTTAAGTCCTGTTCTTTCTGTGTTTCATGTACAAGGCAAGTGCAATTTCTCTTAGCACAACCATTTAAATTAACCCTCTATGAACACAAAGCCATCCAGAAGAATTTTGCTCTTCCCTGTATCGTTTGTCAAAGTATAGCCCATGACAGATCGATTTTCTTGTGGCAGAGATTTCTCTGAGACTGAGTGGTGCCTTGTTCAAATTCACAAAGATGTGACTAACACGCACAAAATGCTGAAGTTGAAGATAAGGGGACATGCCAAAGCATTCTGGTTCTTTTCCCCAGTAACTTCATTGAGTATTAGTGAAAGGACTTGAATGACTCTTTCGGAGTGCAACAGATAGTGGAAACCAGAGCAACAGTTTAAAGAGCTCACTACTTATCTGCCTAAATAGATTGAGTCAGATTATGGAGGCCCCAAGCTACCTCATAAATGACTTTCAGCTTTCCTTGGCCTTTACATTAAACATCTAACTTGTAAGAAGGAACTTCTAAACCCCAAGATTAATTGGCTTCAAATTCCCAGCATTACATGGTCAGAATTCCATTTAAACCAAAACCTGTATTTCAAAAAGTACTTTCTAAGATTGCTTGGTGATCAAAGCATTTTTATCATCCAATACTGACGTGATGAGAAGAAACTGGAGATGTTTTGGAGTTCTTGGAACAACTTCAAAGAGTAAGAGAGTAGAATGTAGAAAGCTCTTCTTCCATGTTTGGAAGGCAGCACATTGAGACTCACAGTAAGGAGAAGCTCCCTTGAAAACATTGAAGGTCTTTTCCTACTTTGGGCTTCTAAAGGATAGCAGAATTCACGTATGCCTCATTCTCACTACTGTACTCATTTTTTCTCCGCAATGATTCTATTAGCATATTAGCATGGAAAGATGATTCCTGAGACATTTGTATAAGTTTCTTAGTCAGTTGCCCCCTAATCCTCCCAAGAGCTGTTTCTATACATCTTGAAAGGAGTGCTTTCATCCCCACCTCACATTTGTTTGTTTGTTTTTGTTTTGCAGAACGAGAAGAGGAAGCAATCTGAGAGATTTGGGGTCGGGGAAGGAGGCACAGAGTCCAAGCGACCTCTACTTAGTCTGGTGCCTCTTCGCTAAGAATTTGGTACCCAAAACAGCGGACCCTGGATTTAGCATCCTTCCTTGGATCCTCGGTTTTCTTTAAACAAATGTTGGGCACATTTCAGCGTCCTCTCTGTGTGCACGACACCTCCTAGCCACTGGCCCTGGGTTCCTTCCCACCATCTCCCTCGCCCCCCTCCCACCTCCAGCCTGCGCATGCGTCCTAAGAACCCCTTCCACTCGCGGCCCAGAGTATTGTCGGGGGCTATTCTCTCTCCCAGGAACATGGCGGCGAGTCAGGGAGGCGGTGGGAACAGTGGGGGCGGCGGCTGCGGTGGAGGTGGAAGTGGTGGTGGCGGTGGCGGTGGCGCGGCTGGAGGAGGAGGAGGTGGTGGTGGAGGAGGAGGTGGCGGGGTCGGGGCGGGAGGAGGTGGTGGCTGTGGCGGGACTGTGGCGGTGCCCATCCCGGTACCGACTCTTTTCGGTCAGCCGTTCCCCAATGGGCCGCAGTGGCACCCAGGGAGCTTGCAGCCTCAGCACACGGTGAGGAGCCTGGACCGGGCCCTGGAGGAGGCGGGGAACTCTGGCATCCTGAGCCTCAGTGGCAGGAAACTCAGAGACTTCCCAGGCAGTGGCTACGACCTGACGGACACCACCCAAGCAGGTGACAGGCTGGGGGGAGGGGAAGCAGGGCCTGGAAGGAGGATGGGGAGTGGGTGACTGCGTGGCTGCCTTGTTGGATTCTGCTGGGCCGGCGCGCAGGGGCGGCGGGAGTCCCGGAATCCGAGCAGCCTCCTCTGACTGTGAGGGGCAATGCAGGCAGCGGGAAAGAGGGGCGCCAGCAGCCCTGGGATGATGGAGAAGCTGGCTGGGATGTTAGGGGCATTATTGTTAAAGAGTGTTGTACCCAGAGTGTTGCACCCAGACAGAAGGGACTTATTGACACCTTCCTTAATGCACTTCCTTCAACTCTTGGTCCTATCTTCCCCCACCTTAACCGTGAGTAGGTGGGAGGAGGTGAGAGGAGTTGGGAACAGACAATGCAGAAAAATCATAATCTCTACATATTCCTTGAAAGGCATTGGATAGTCCTTTTCAGAGTAAGGCTTGGTGTTTGTCTGTGTTCTTCTGGTGGATTTGTTTAATCATTTTAGGATATTTTTGTTTCCTTTTCATCTCATCTATGCCTTACAGAGTGACTTTTATTTTATTTTCATTTTCTTGATGCTGAGAGGTGATGGTGGTTAGATTAGTATTTGTTGCACTAGGAAATTAAATCATCAATAACTTAAGTGTTTGATTACCGGGTGAAAGGTAGTCCATTTTTGAGTGTTGTTGGTTTTGATTTTTATAGCAGAAAGCTAAAAATTGTATGGGTATTTTTGAGAAAACAATTCCATTTCTTATGGGGTTGATGGTTAAAGGATTGCCCTATACTCTGTGTTAGTCTTTGTTGTGGCTGGCATCTTGGTGGTGGTGCTGTGAATTCACTCTCCTTCTAAACCAGTGCTGCTTATTTTTATATTTGTTTAGGTTTGCTGAAGGTTTTTTTCTCTTCATAATCTTTAATTTTTTGCTTTATGTGTCCCATCTACAGTGCTGAAATAAATTGTGCACCAAGATATTTGCATGGATGTAGTGATTTTGAAGCACCATAGTGAGAAGTAGTAAATATCCATATTTACAAACAAGACAATTTAAGTGCGTTCGGTTTCTAGACATCAAATCAAGATATGTGTGCAGGCAGAGGATGGCAAAAAAAAGGAAAAATCTAAAATTGAAGCTTCCTATGCAGTAATTCTCTCAGGCAGTATTTAAGGAACTATGAATACAGAATCAATACCGGATTATGTATTGTGGTAAACTGGTTTGAATGTTTACACCTTTACTCAGAACAGATTGCCCAAACACTATTCACAGACTCATGGATAGGTATTGGCAAGATATGCTCCTTGGTATGTGCCTCAAAAGCTTCAAGAAAAAATGGCTCCAGGATGCATCATTGTAGGTTTTTTTCTTTACTCTTCTTTATAACCCATAAAGATTCCTTCTACCTGTAGGACAAAGTTTAAATATTTTTGGCTGTCACTGTCTGGCTCCAGGTTAATTATTGCAATTGTATCTCACAAATGTTCCTACCTTCTTTTCTTCCAACTAGGTCAGCTTGCTGCCCCTCAAATAAATATTTTGTGTAATTCTGCCTTATCCTTATATGAAGCTGTCTGCATGCGTGAGATTTTCCAAAAAGCTGTTTCCATGATCGATACCAGTCTTCTGCTTCTTTGAATTCCCAGGGTGCTTATTGTCTCTACTACTTATTTGACAGTGCTGGCTTTATTTTCCTTTTTTGTTGTGCCTTGCTCTCCCTGAGGATATGGAGCACAACTTTAAAGGCATATACCTGTTCAGTGTTCCCATTCTATATCGCTTTTATTGTGTAATGGCATTTCTCACAAACATGACCATCATTTTATTCAGTTATCACCTGATGGGGAACTTTATTAGCCAATCATCTTTAAGAGGTGGGTCTTAGTTAAGGCATGGTTTTGCTAGGACCCGAGGTAAAAATGTATGCACCTCCAGGTGCTCTCTCTCTGCACCTTTTCCTGCGGGGCATTGCTGTGCTTGGATTTCTCGTTTCCTGTTTCATGAGTTTTCCCCTTATAATAAATAAAATATAATTGTTTTATCCTTAACTAGCTTAGTTATTTTAACAATAACCATTTGCGTTCCAACGCTTCCCGTCAGTTGGCTTTCGAGGCAAGCTTCAGCACAACTCAGAATCATATTTGTTCTTGGTAAACAGTTACTCACCACTTTCTTTTTGTGGTGGTGGCGTAGTGTTTTGCACATGCTATTCCAGAAATCTGCACACCCAGATCATTCCCATTTTAATCTTTACTGGTGTCTATATGGTATATCTTTTGGAGTGTGTACTTGTGCTTGTGTGTGATAGTGCACATGTTTGTGAGGGTGCCTAGGTAAATGTATACATGAATGTGGAAGCCAGAGGTCAACCTAAGGTGCAGTCCACTTTTTCTTGACAGGGCCTATCGTTGCTCTGAGGTTGTCAAGTAGACTAAGCTGGCTGGTTCGAGAACATTGAGAATCCATCTATCTTCCTCTTTCTAGGACTGAGATTACAAATAAACAACCATGCCCACCTATTTTCTTTCTTATGTAGTTTCTGGGGCTTGAATTTAGATATTTGTGCTTGCCTGACAAACATACTACCTACTGAGGAAGATGTACTTTCCTCCTTTTCTTTTTCATTCTTTCTCCATGGAATTCCTCCTTTATGTGTGATACCCATTGCACAAACATGCACATATGAAGGTAAGCACATGGGTTATCACGTGGTCATCTGAGGAGTACCTTGTGTATATCAGTTCTTACCTTCCACCTTAAGGTAGGGTCTCCTGGCCTCTGATTTTTCCAGGCAAGCTGGCCATGAGCTGCCAGGGACTCTGCTGTCTCTTTCTCTATCTCTTTAAAGGAGTGCTGGGATTCCAGATTCCAGAGCTACTGTGTCTGTCCTTTCCAGAGGTTCTGGAGATCTGGACTCCAGTTGTCATGCTGTTGACAAGACTTTACCCACTGTCATTTCCTCTGTTCTTCCCACCTACCTCTTTGAGACAGAGTCTGTATTTCCACTAGCACTCCGTTCACTTTGTGGCCTTGAACTTGAGCTAATCCTCTTGACTCAAACTCACCTGATTATAGGCATTGTAGAATTTGTCACAATAACTCAGTTTTATTGTAACCTATGAGGCACACATGAGGGATAATATTCATATTTTCTCTTTCTGAGTTTGGGTTCCTGCTTAATATTATGCTTCCTAAGCCCATCCATTTTCCTGCAAATATCACTTTTCTGAACAGTGAATAACACTCTATTGTGCCTGTGCTATATTTTCATTATCTATTCATTTGTAATTGGACATCTATGTTTGTTCAATTTTATTGCTATTGTAGCTACAGCAGCAATAGACATGAATGTACACCTCCCTACGTGGTACAGAGTCCTATGAGTATATGCCCAGGAGTAGTATAACTGGCTTTTTGTTTGTTTTGTTTTGTTTTGTTTCAATTCTTGAGGAAATTGCAAGCTGATCTCCATAATTGTTGCATTTATTTGATTTCTACCAGCAATAAATAAGGATTGCTCTCCCCACCGTACTCCCTTGTTCTCTCCGACCTTTGCCCTTAGATTTCTGGATGTTACTCATTCTGACTGGTGTAAGGTAAAGTCTTAAAGTAGTTTTAATTTGCAATGACTACAGATGTTAAGCACTTTAAAAAAATACATGCTATTTATGTTTCTCCTTTGAAAAAGGTCTGTTGATTTACTTAGCCTATTTGTTGATTTTCCTAGCCTATAGTGTGTATGTGCATATATGTTAACTGTTTAAGTATCAGTAGAGTTGTAACATTTAGAAAGGCGAGAAAGAGGCTAAAATTAAGTGATGAGAAAGGATGGAATTCAGGTAAAAGGACACATGAATCATGAAAGAGGATATAAATACATTTTTCTTTCCTGGTTTCAAGTCAGTCATAGTTTTGTAATTTTTTTGTGGTTGACAAGTGAATAAAAATGTAATTGATAGCAAAAGTATAAAAGCCCAAGTTAAGCTCCATCGCTTCAGAATTGCCATTCCAACTTTATGGCAGGCAATTCACTGAGATGGACAGGCTTTGGGACTGGGCAAGTGTTTGAGTGGCTTCCTTAAATGAGCTGTGTTTGTTCAAAATTCTTTTTATTTGTGAGTTAATTAGAACAAAATGATTTATTTAAAGATAGAATAAAAATGACAAAAAAGAAAAGGAAAGCCAATCATTTAATATTTTTGCCATTCGAATATATGTTCTTATTGAGACTATGTCAAGATCAGATAGAGTAAATAGATCTTGTGGTATTCTCTTTTTCATTTAGATGAGATATCAGTAAGTGTGTCACTTGTCCTTTTCTTTTTTAATCACAAAATGTATCCATGAAGTATTTAGGAGCAATAGTTTTGAATACAGATACCATGTTTATTTTATGTAGATGAAAGTACACACCTCAAAAATGAAAAATGAGCATGTTTGAGGTTATACATGTACACATACGCAAGTATCTACATACAGATAGACACTATCTTCTTCAGAATAATTCTATTTGGTGGCATTGCTACAGTGTATTTACAATGACTCTTAATGGGTTAATGTTTCAGAACCAAACTGATTATTTAGACAAGCATGATGTGGTTTATTGTATGGAGAAGAGACTTGAAGAAGGGAAAATTGCATAGATGTTATTCTCCTAATTAAGAGGGGGTTGGAAAATGAGCTAAAAATAGCTAAGATGCTATTCTGCTAATTAAACGATGCTTGAAAAATGAGATAAAACAATATTGACTTAAGGGAAATCGACAAGTTTCAAAAGAAGAAGGAAGGGAGGGTTTTTTTCTGTCATTTTACTGTCCCTTTTACGTGTTAAGATGAAATAGACCAGTGTTTCCTGCCTTGACTAGACTTTAAAATCCCAAGGGAGGGTTTTTTTAAATTTTTTTTATGCCAAGACTTTACCCCAGACCAATTAAATCAGTGTCTCCATGGCCAAGAGACTTAAACAAAATCTTCTCAGGTGAATCCAGTGTACAATCAAGGTCATATAAATACTTTTTGTTTGAATAAATGAAAATACAGGCAGAAATTTACTGATTAAGGTTTAAAACCAAAACTAGGAAGTGCTTAAGTTCTTGTGCAGTGTTATTTTGTATCTGTTTATCATAGTGTATGATATGAGTTCACTGGGAACCTATAATTTTCTTGGATATCCCTGGCTTAGAACTCATCCCATTTGTAATTTTGCACATGTTCTTAAACTTTGTAGCCACAAAGCTTTGCTGTCTATAACAGGTTTGCCAAGAGGGAAGACTAGAGAGAAGACAGCTGTTGGCAGAGTGTATCTTTGATGTCTTTTTACATTTTCTCTGTATTTATGGTGTCTGTTTTTCAGTTACCTCTCCTGTCCCTTTTCTCAGTTCTCTTTTCAACTTCAAGTAAACGTTCCTCCTTTGCTGGGATGGAGCACAAAGCTCCACGGTTATGGCCAGCTCTTGATAAGACTACCATCTAAGAGGAGTTTGCACCCTTACTTGAAATCAGTTGGCGGCTTGTCCTCATGACCTCTTTCAGTATATCCTCTTTCTCAACTTTCCTTCATAAAACTACAAATCACAATCCCAGAGAACCTAGACAACAATGAGGACTCTGAGAGAGACATACATGGATATAATCTACATGGGAAGTAGAAAAAGACAAGATCTCTTGAGTAAATTGGGAGCATGGGGACCTTGAGAGAGAGTTGAAGGGGAGGAGGAAGGAAGGGATGGGAGCAGAGAAAAATGTACAGCTAAATAAAAATCAATAAAATAAAACTTCACACCCACGAACAGATCTATAAAGAGGGGTTCAAAAGTCATCATCCTCTTCTAGGAAAATCCAGTTATTCTCTGTGTAATGTCTTCTTTCCAGTTCCTTGCTAATAGACATGGTATGAGCTTTTTGGATACTATAGTAATTTGTCACCTTAAAATGAATTTTTTGAGCCAGGCAGTGGTGGCACATGCCTTTAAACCCTGCAATGGGGAGACAGAGGAAGGCAGATTTCTGAGTTTGAGGCCATCCTGGTCTACAGAGTGAGTTCCAGGAAAGTCAGGGCTGCACAGAGAAACCCTGTCTTGGAAAACAAAACAAACAAAAAGAATTTATTGGTTGTTGAAACAAATCTCAATCATTTTCACAGATCCTCTGTCACCAGTGCTACAACTAAGGGGATGTGTTTGAACCTACTTGCAGCGACTCTGTCTGATGCATTATACAGTAAATGTTATGTCCATGAGCAGTAGGTCTGTAAAACAGATTTAGGAATTCTTTTGCCAGATTGTGCTGTGTCCTGGATAATCACATGTCTTCCTGTAAACCAGGAATTGACTCTAGGATTTCCTACATGTGTTGACTCACCTTTTCAACTGTAGGATATGGTACATTGTCTTTGATTATAAAATGGGGCCAGATAAACACAATATCTGACTTGGTCTCATGGTTGAAGGTTCTGCTAGTGCATTTACTGGAACAAGTTTGTGGTTTAATATTTTGACCTGAATCAAATATCTTCCTTTCTTTATGGAATGTCTTCTTGAAAAATAGAATTTGAAGCACATATTTCAGAGTTGACTCATATTTTAAGAGCTGTAGATTATATTTTTGAGTTGCAGAATCTTGAACTGATTTATTCTGGAACCAGTTTTATAGTCATCCCTTAATTTTTTTCTTTTGCAAATTTGCAATGTAAAATAAAATTTTAGCTTAAATTAAAAGGCAAAGTCATTGTTAAACTACTTCCATT